CTTTGCCAGTTGGTACTCGACTTCCACTTGCCATTTTCCGAGTGGATTGAGAGAATTGAGCGGATTGATTGGGAGAATTAAGAGAGAATTGCGTGGATTGAGAAAATTGAGAGAATTTAAGAGAATTTGAGAGAATTTAGAGTATTTGAGAGAAATTGAGAGTATTGAGAGAATTTGAGAGAATTTATAAGAAAAAAATGAGAAGAAAATTTAGGATAAAAAAAAAGCTAGATAACCGTTGCAATTTGCAACGGTTATCTTTTTATTTTATTTTATTTTTTATTTTTGCCCGTTGCCAAGGCAGCCTGCAAAGGCTGCCCTGGCAACGGGCCGCAGCAGGGCCTGCAGACGTGCAGGTGTTGACACCTAAATTTTGCCCAAATCATTTAGGGTTTTATCGCATAAACATTAGGGTCTAATTTTTGACCCCTAAGCCGAAAACATTTTCATTAAATTCCATGGCATATAGACATTAGGCGCATTTGCATTAATATGGCATATTAGGACATATTCATATATTAAAAAAAAAAAAAGATTTCCGGGCCGGGTTCGTTGGCCCATTCTTTTTCCCCCTATTTTTCTTTTATTGCGCGCGGCCCATGCTCCCTTTTCTATTTTCGCGCGGGCCGACCCATTTCCCACGGCCCGACCCGCGCACTGTTCAAACCTCCCCCCACTCAACATTTCTGAGCGTACGGGGGGAGAAGACTGGAACAGTGGCAGAACGCCACAGCCACAGAGCACGGAAGCCAGAGGGGCGCGGGGGACACTGGCGCAATCCTCGGGTCGGGGGGCAGGCCGGCCACGGCAGGCTGGCGGTGGCAGGGGCCATGCACGTCTGCCGGCCGGCTTCGCGCCCCTGGCCGTCCTTAAATCCGAGGAGAGAGAGAGAAACGGAGGGGGAGGACTGCGAGCGAGAGAGCCGAGAGAGAGGAGAGAACGAGAGAGCAAAGCGGAGAGAACGGGAGGGGAAAAGAGAAGAGAACTTGAAGAGCTTCCGGAGAGAATAGACTGGAGGGGGAGCCAAAACCGAGAGAGAATCGAGGGAGCCAAGAACGCAGAGAGAGTTAGAAGAAGAAGAAAAAAACGGAGACCGACTGAGAGTTGAGGGGAATCGGAGAGATCCGACTCTCACCCACTCGCCGGAACGTCGCCTGAGCCACCGCCGAGGCCCCAGTTGTCGCGCCTCTCTTCGGTCAACCCCGAACCAGGTGGGTTTTGCATCCTTTTCTTCCCCTGTTTTTGTCCCCTTTCCCCTGCCTCTGGGGTGCCAGGCGCACCGAGCCTATTCGGTGGTCGCCCGGCCCCGTCGAAGGAAGCTAACTCGTTTTTGACACTCAATGAACCTTTTCCAAACATCACGTGTCAAAAAAAAAAAGACTACGAATCGTGTCGAGTTTAGGCATTTAGCTCCCTTTTCAAGTTGCACCTGTTTGCCAAAATGCTTCAACGAAGTTCTTTGAGTTTATGACCCCGAGTTTGATCTTGCGTTTTCAGGTCGTTTTTGTGCAAACTGAGACCTTATTGTGGCAAAAAACAGTTGTATGGGTCTTCTCACTTCACGTTTGAGTTGAAAACCGCATCAAATCTCACTCTAGAACATTTTTATGAACTCGCACATCACATGTTCGACGAAATGCCTAAATGGAGGTCCGAGTTATTTTTTGCGAATCAGTGCTTGAAACTCGATTTTTATGCTTGATTGGTTCCCATATTGGTCGAATGGTGTCTGACTTCGTGTTTTCTCTGTGGTTTCTTTCGGTTTTGTGGCATATCTTGCATCGTTCGAGTCGGCCATGGACGTGACCTTCGCCGGAGCTCCATTCTCCTTTGCCCAGTGACACCTGTGGCTCGAAGCCGCCACTGTCAGTTCGCTCTTTTCCATGTCGTGTATGCTTGGTTGTTTAGGTTTTACGTTTTCTTGTGGCCGAAAGTTTGGGGATCGGAGAATGAATCTTGGCTGCCGGTGTCGTTCGGCGGCCGGAGTTAGCCGAAGGTTTGGCGGATGGGGGGGTCGATGGTGAGAGCGTAGGCCCAGTGTGGGTAGTCGGCGTTGGCGGCCCGCGTCGTCGGTCGGAGGCCCAAAAGCGTTCTTGGTGAGGTCTCGGTTGAAGAATAGGAGTTCTCGGTGAAGAATAGTAGGAAGCAGGGAAGCTTTCTGGGCAGGAAGGTCACGCGCAGGAGGGGATGAAGAAGAAAGAAGAATAATAAAAAAGGAAAAAAGAAACAAAAGAAAAGGAAAGAAAAAGAAAAAAGGAAAACCGAAAGAAAAGAATAAAAAATAGAAAGGAGCAGGGAATGGGGATCCCGGGTCATGTGTCGGGCGGATCGGGTCAGGGGACCCGGTCCGGAATTATTATATTAAAAAATTAAAAAATACTAAATAATTCAAAATTTCAAAAAAATATTAAAATATTAAAAATTCCAAAAAATTAGAAAATTTTTAAAAACCCAAAAAAATATTAAAAGTCTGAAAAACATTAAAAAATTCAGAAAATTAAAAAATATTAAAAAATTCAGAAAAATTCAAAAAAAAAATCAGAAAATTAGGAGATGTTCAGAAATCAGTTTGAGCTTAATTTCACTAGATTTTAGGTTAAAAACTCAAAACAAAAAAAATGAAAAAATGAGAAAAAACCCTCTAAAAAATTCCCAAAAATCGGATAAGCCATGAGGGCTTTACTTTAGGGCTTTTGATTGCCTTTTCTTTTTTAGAGACGATGCTAGGTCACTGGTTGCTTGTTTTCCTTGTGATTATTTGGTTGCGCGCCTTTAATTTATTGGTTGGTATTTTCTATTTTTAGCATGGTTAGACGGAATTTTAGCTTTTTTGATAGGCTGCCTAGTACGTTAATTTGCAAGTAATCAAGTTTAGGTACCGAAAGGGCACTAGTAGATCGCTAGTGTAATCAAGTCTCCGTACCCATTGAATCTCTAGTTCGTAGAAGTGAAGCATTCCTCCTGTGTTTCATTTGGGTGTCTAATCGGCCCACCAAAATCGATTAGTGGCGACTCCTAGATAAAATTGATTTGCATGTTAACAACTTAAACTTAAGTCGCGAATTGGTATGGGTTTGGGAGAGCTCGAGCTAGGTTTAACTTAGTAATCCATTAGCTTAAACCCCTTAGGCGATAGGGCCGGTTCGGGGAGGTCGCGACAGCAGGCCCTGCTGCAGGTTTTTTTTTTTTTTAAATTTATTTATTGGAACCGGAACCGGGCCAGTAGGCCACGGGCCGGTTCCAGTTCCGAACCGAGGGCCCGATCAACGGGCCGGGCCCGGGTTTGACCGGGCCGGTTCCGGGCCAAAACCAGCTCGTGGCCATGACTAGGTAGGGGTGAGCACGGTTTTAGGGTAGGTAGAATGGGAACCGAAGAACCGGACCCACCGGTCCGGTTTGGTTCTCGGTTTTAGAGAGGGAGGTTCCGGTTCCCGGTTCCATTTTTTTAGGAACCGCCGGTTCCCTGTTCGGCTCCGGGTTCCCGGAATCGGGAGCCGGAACTGGAATCGGGAACCCTAAATTTAAAATCCCTAATTTGCTTTCTTAGTGGTTGGAAGTTTTTTTTTTTGTTTTGTCTCTCCAAAGAGTTGGACCATTACCATGTGAAATAAAGGGCAAATTTCTTCTTTAAATGATCGACTCAAAGAGGTCTAGCAGAAAAATTGTAGCCCATCACTACGCATGCATGGTTTGATCAGATGTCTTTCTCATCCATCGGAGAAGAATGATTTACCGATTCACTGAGAGGTTGATATTCAACTTTGTTTCTTGTGAAGACTTGAATTTGGGAATGTAGCTATATGCTTTAGAGGGGCAAGTAGAATATTTTCTAAAGTTTGTTCAGACCTTTGGTTTATTGTGGTTTTGGAGTACATACCATTTGCAGGCTCATTGCTTTGCTTGACTTGTCATATTTGGATATTCATTGTCATGCATCTGTGCCAAGTTTTTATTCTTTAGTGAGGTTCGATTGTTTTCGTCATTCACTATTTCAAGAAAAATCGTAAGCTTGATGGTTGTATAGTTAGAACCTCGGTGATAATGGATGGTGACACTTCAATTTTAAATTTAAAACTATTATTAAGTTATTAACTATGATTGTTGTTTCTTTTGATTTCCGTTGGTCTGAATTTGGAACAAATTTTCGTGGATGTTTGAGGACCAAAAGTTCATCTTTCTTTCCTTTTTCCTGCTTCCCATTTTGTTTGTGGTCCTGGATATTGTCTTGATCGACATACTAGTCCCTCGTGAATTATATTGTGTATCGATTCATGCAATGACTTCTCATTTTAATTGTATTTATTTGAACTGTAATTCTAGGAAAACTAGCATTTTGTATTCTGTTTGGTGAATGACAAGTTTGTTCAGTATTGTTGCGTTCATTTTCGTTTTGTTTAACTAAAAAACAAAAAAACAAAAAAACCCGTTAGACCCTGAAAATTTAGGTTCCAGGTTCCACGTTCTAATGGGTAGGTTTCAGATTCCAAAAAATGAGGAACCTGTAAGGAACATGAAACCGCTCACCCCTACTGCATGGGCATTCGAATTATATCGTGACCTTTGTTTGAATTGACTGCTTATAGGTATTAAATAAGTAATCTATGATAAGAGCATTAAATCATATTTTCGTCTTTAACATAAGATTAGGTAGGCGAAATTTACTTGCCCGCTCCAACAATATATTAACATGTAACTATTGACAACACTCTTAGGGTTAAATATGGAGGAGACGAAAGTGGGTGAAGAATACTAGCCATAATATTCCCTAAAGTCAAGAACATAGAGATAGAAATTCAAGTGGAAAGAAGAGAATGAAAGTCTAGCACGTAAAGGATAGGAAAGATTCAGAGAATTGTATATTTTCCACGAGAAATTGTTCATGGAAGTGAAGTGGATTTAATAGGACTGAACAGCATAAGAGGGCATTAAATTTGCTTGCTGCTCTATATGTGGATCTGATTCTGCATATAATTAAGCAAAATCCCAACTCACTGTCCATGTACTTGATGCACACGAAAAAATCTATTCATAAGAACAATGGTGGGTACATACTGGAAGAACTTTCAACAAGATAACTCAATACATGACGTAGCAAAAGACCTATGTATGTACATACACACAAACTGGCCGGTACTCGCCGTCGACCGCCACACATGACCCGGAAAGTCAAATTACATGAAGTTCAAAGTACACATCCAAATGTGTATATCGCTCAATTCCTGAGTATTCAAGAGTCTAGGTTAATCGATAGGAAGCTCCGACCGATTCGAACACCGTCCACACGTCTGACCGGAGATCCGGCCTATCCCTTCTGCTCATCGCGCAGCATCTCAAAGCCAAATGAGTCAACTCCTTGGCCAGCTCATAGGGCCAATCTCCAGCCAATGGATCCAAGATTTCCTCCAAAGTCCCTGCGCGAATTGCCCTTTGCACTACGTTCGCTATTCCCAAGGCGGGTCTCCTCGTCAATAACTCAAGCAGTATAATCCCGAAAGAATAAACGTCGAACTTCTTCGTAAGCTCTTGCGTGACGAGGAACTCGGGATCCATGTACCCGAAGGTCCCTTTCGGGTTGGTCGGGTACACGACGGTGGTGTTGTTGCTCGACCGCTCGCCGCCGGACAGCAGTCGACAGATGCCGAAATCGCTGAGCTTGCTCACGAGGTGTGCATCCAGTAGGATGTTCCCCGGTTTGACGTCCCCATGGACGATGCTGTGAGGCTTGTAAGAGTGGAGGAAGGCCAGGACAGAGCAGAGCTCCGTGGCGATGCGTATTCGTGCTCGCCACGGCAGCTGCTTCGCCCTGTTGCTGCTGTGGAGCCAGTCTTCGAGGCTACCGTTTGGTATATATTCGTAAACAAGAGTGCAGGGCTTGGGACAAGCGCCAATGAGCGTGATGAGATTAGGATGCCTCACCTTGCTCAACACATCCACCTGTGAGATATTCAATTAAGAGTTCGATGATCAACAATGATGTTCTCGATCACTGTGAGTAATGTCCTTTTACAGTGAATTCCTGATGCCATAGTGGTATTATTGTGGAAAACAAATTTACTTAGTGATGAACCAGTCTTTATACATTTTTATCATTCTTAATTTGATTTAGAGAAAACATGAAAACAAGTAGAGGATACACGAGAATTCTTACCTCCTGTTGAAATTCTTGTGAACCTTGCATGCTAGGAAATTTCATGATCTTTATAGCCACCAGCGTATGTCGAAGGAAACCTCTATACACCCGCCCCCAGCCGCCTTCTCCGATCTTCAAGGACGGGGCGAAGTTCTGCACAGCTTCCCTGATTTCGGTCATGGAGAACTCGGAGAAGTACTTTGTGCCCGAGGAATCTCCTTTTCTTCTGCTCACCTCCTCAGCCTTTTCGAGTGCATTCTCGAGGTCGATCTGCAACCGCTCTCGCTCTTGTCTAAAAGTCTGCAACATTTCATCGTTCGCAATGTTTTTCAGCTCCAACTCCTTTCTGCTCTGGTCAGTCTCAGCGAATTGGCTCTCGAGCTGCAATTTCTCTTTCATCACTTTGTCTAGCTGATCCTTCACCTTCTGAAGTTCTTCCTCCAACTGAAAATTTACCCATAATACTATACTTAATAGATGATCTCTCTTTTTTTTTTTTTTTTTTGGTAACCGAGGATCCGCCACCATTCCCTGGGGACGAGCCCGCACAGGTAATCGGGGCGCCTATACCTCGGGGGAGACTAGCCCAGCAACCCACCGCCAGAACCCCCACTTAAATGATCTCTTTTCTTTTGCCAGAAGTCAATAAATCATCTTTCTTCCTCATTTTAATTATATCATGCATGCTTTATATCTGTTTCAATTATACCATTGGGTTCGGGATGGTCCTCAACAATCAGACTTCAGCAAAATCAGTAGAAATATTCCGTTTTTAATATCAGAAATTTAAATAAATCAGGGGGTCTAGGTCGATGTCGATATATATCAAAATTATACCATCCTGGGATCCTTTCGCCCGCCTTCAATGATATCTACTTCTGCTTCAGCACAAGTCGTTACTCCCCCCTCAAGCACTTCACGCATGCCGATTTCATCCATATCCTGTTACAATTAGCTAAACTTTGCAATATTCCTTTAAAGGACAAAGAATATGATATTCTTAGCTCCAAAACAGGACAACTTAAGCTAGAGACATGGTCTCCTGGCTAGAGAACATGAAAACGACAATGATTGTCTTATTTTGAGCATACCAGAGTGTTGGAAAGTGATGAGTGGCCGGTATGATAGACCGACTGAATCAACTGCGGAGGATGGGAAAGATTTGTTGCAAGTTCTTGGAGAATGTCTTGACTCTCCAGCATGCTTGCCGCATTAGGCTGCTCGGAAGGAGTGCTATCTGGGGAGGGAGAAGCTACTGGCATCACTACACATTGGTCAGCGTTCGAGGAGAACGCTCTTCTCAGAATCTTTTGAAATGGATTGCTCAACTTCGGCATACCACTCCTCTGCTGTGTGGCTGATCGCGATTTAATGAGAACCGACTTTCCAGCTCCAGGGGTTGGAGTCGTTGGTGATGGTGCATCAGTAGGAACTTCAACGATGGCTTGAACTGTTTGAGCTTCCCTATTGTGACAAGGAGTCGGAAACAACTTTGATGTGAAGCAAAAATTGTCTGCTATGACTCCGCCCCCGTGAACATCCCTAGTCACACTCAAGTTCATTCCGAAATTTCATTTATTGTGTTAAGAGCCAATTATAAGTTATCGGATCTAGGGACACTGGTAGTTACCAAGGCCCCCCAGTGCAATATTTCCCAAGTATTTAGCCATCTTATTCAAAGAGAGAAGACATAATGGAAAACATGAATACAATTGTTTGTCTCAGCATCATCCCAAACTAAACTTCTTGGTATCCTATGGCATTCAACTTTGTAACAGGATCTTCGGCTGATTTGTTTTTCAAATTGATTATTTGTTGTAGATCTTATTTTCACTACACCTTCATGTGCGCATTCGATAATTTCGAACGCGACAAATTTACAAGTAAAATAGTCAGAGGACGACCTTGCGTGAATGAGGTTACCGTCGCAGATAAACCGAATTTGACAAGAGATGTCAGCTTTTTCGCGAACGAAGATGGCTTTCTTGGACTTGATTTCTGTCATCTTCCTGCCAATTCGAAACCATAGAAGATAGTGAATTAATTTGGTCTGAGTTCATATAATACTAAACATAAGTTTGAAAACACAACACGAGAGACTTTAGATTCTCAAAACGATATGTCGCCAGTTTTTATTTTATTATTTTACTCAGTTGGAAAGTAAGACGATTCATATTACATTATGTATTGTGATGGACTCGGGGCGAACTAGACATCGTGTTTGAAAAGCGCCACAAAGTATTCCTCAAAGACAGGTCGGGTACAGCACATTTTAAGGATTAACGTAGAAATAAGTATCTGGTTTAATTTTGTAATTAAGGATCCAAACAAACTTGTCCTTATAGTTGTGAAGAGGACAGTTTTGGAATGAATAAGTTCACTGCCCATGTGGGCGTGTCTTCTTGTTCTTGTACGTACTTGGAATAGCGTCTGTCTGCTGCTGCACCCATTACGAGCTTTTTGATCCCGTGCAAACGTATGAGCTCCACAATTCCCTTTTGAATGCTGTCCGATTCTATGTACTCTTTCTCTGCCGGTACCTATGAACCAATAAGTTAAACAATTTTGCTTCGTTATCATCCTCGTCTCTAAATATAGAATTATATATATCTATATATATTCATGTAAACTTGTGCCACACGAGAACATATATCAAGGGTTAACGATGATTAATATTTGTGTGATTCGCTAGCACTTTGTTAAGAAGTCATTGACCAGGATATTTAATCATCTAGATGAAGAAGAAGCAGAAAGTAAATATACCCCCATTTGTTCACAAACGCGCAGGTAGGTATCCAAGATTTTATGCATGTTCGTCCTCTCTCTTTCTCTGTGTTCTCTCAACATTATCTCATTCGCCGAGTTCGCGGGCATTCCGGCACCTAGGCCTCCTGCAAACCAAAGGAAGCGCAGTTATTTTAATCCGTTGCACGAAAGAACGCGGCAAAAAGAACGAATATTGGCAATAATAGAGCAAGTTAAAGCAATAGGATTATCCAACATGGTCCAACATCGCAAAACCCTCAAAGAGAAATTTAATTTATTCACATATCGATTGTCCATCATGGAAGATCCGTGTATTATATCCATGGGAGCTTGGTAAGCTCTTATTTTTACCGTTAACAGAAACTCGTAGAACAAGAAAAGATACCGAAAATCGATGGTGGCTGATGTGCAAAGAAAACAAAGCAAAAACGTTGACTTACCCATGGGGATCGTCTGTGAAGGAACTAGAATATGAATGATACAGATCTTGACATTGCCTCCTGATTGATGCACCATCCAAACAATCTTCGCTTTGCCCTCTTTCACGTCCTTCCCAGCTGCAATATAAATCTTGTCTTCAAACACCGGCGTCGCAAGTTCAGGTGCGATCCTGCGAAAGCTCGGCATGATGGCCGGGACTCCGAACTCGGGAAGTGTAATTATACGATCGACCATGGCCATACTGGAACGTGCTAAGTATGAAGACGAGGACGGCTCTTAACAAAAAATCAAAGCGAACAAACTCTGCAGCGTCTATAATGGATATGGCTAGCTAGTGAGAGCAGACGAGAGAGAGAGAGAAACAGAAAGCGAGACATGGGAATTCTCTGAGAAACGAAAATGAAGTCAATAAGTGGGGAGTGTCTCAAGTGAGGTTCTGTGTTGTGGGGGAGGTGGGGGATCTGGGAACGGTCGGGATCGGCGGAGAGAATTTGCCCGGGGAGCGAGGATATGGGAATCTAGGTCGGGAAGGGTTTTGAGAACTCACCGACGACCCCCGATCCTCCCGAGCCGAGCGTCATGGATGAGCGAGCTGAGCGAAACGGAGTTTCCGCGGCGAGAGCTGTCGGAGATCTGATCGGAGGAGAGGAAGAGAGAGAAGGAGGGATTGTTGCAGTTGCAGAGACGAGAGAGAGATAGAGTCAAGAGAGTACTCCATGGAAAAAGAGGAATAATAAAAGCTTTCTGCCCGTCCTTAATAAAAAGGACGAAGATGGCTTCTTAAAAGCTTTAAAAAATTGATGGAGAAAGAGGAATAATAAAAAGGACGGGCAGAAAATAAAAACGAAAATGGGTACTCCAAGAGAAAAATATATATGGCCAAACAAAGGAATTTTTACTATATAACATGACATAATAAAATATGTCATAAATAATTTATCAATTAATTTGATTTTTTTATTTATTTATTTGTGAATTTGTATCAAATTAATTTGATTAAAATAATTAAGAAAATGATAATTATCATGTATATATAAAAATATACGTTTAATATATAACGTGTCCCAACGTATCGGAATTCTTTACTTTTCGAAAAATGACGTGTCGTGTTGTGTCATATGTTAATATCGGTATCGGTGTCGATGCCGGTGCAACATAGGTTATAAATAGATGGCTTGTTCTAAAGCTTTACGTAGACCGTACAGTACTTAACATGAAACCGACGAAGACTCTCTTTTCACGGGTAATGAGTGAGCAATTTCTCGTTGTGATCCATCGAGTTTGGTGTATATATAACATAAAATAACATAGGCCTGTGCCTTGTACTGCTTTTAGTGATCACAGCCGGGGGAGTGTCCATCACCGATGACGCAAGTGCTTAGCTTTTCCAAAGCTTTTGGCGGTCATCTTGAGCACATTCATTGGCCCGAATTCCTTCCAGGGAGCAGCTTCTTGGAAAACAGCTGCTAGGGTTTGTCATTTTGGACTCCTAGGCACAGCTAACCAGAGAACTCTGTGTCTCCATCCATCAATCAATTAATTAATCTTGTGGGGCAGATTCATTTATATTTCCCGAAGGAGAGAAAACATTGTAAAATATTTCAAAAGAAAAAAATTGTCGTTAGGTAACATCCGTTATTGAAATCGATTGACGTGATAAGAGAAAAAGATTATCTTCTCACGGCATTCGATCATTTGTCAAATGTCTCATCCAGCTTCTAGAATCAATTTCCTTAATCCAATCAAAGAAATTGGCCTCATCTTATATTATCTTTTATTCCCCCGGCAAATGTCTGCTGAAAATCTAGAAGTTGGCCTCATCTTCTTGGCTCTCTGCCCTGCACAACACTCAACTTGCAAGAAGTCGACAAAAAAGTCAGAAGCGTGACTAATTTTTCTAATGAAGATATTAACAATTAAAATACTGTAAGTTTTAAATAATAATAATGGAAAAAATTATTCCCAAATCTTCGCATGGATATTTGTATCTTAAATGGTTTTACGTATTAGTCAAGTGCAGTTGTGTGATGCGAGTGCGATTGTTTTCTTCCTTAATGCAGAAGCATCGTATCGTGGCAATGGAGCTCTCTCTCTCTTATCAAAGCTTGATTTGGATTGAAGGGCAAGCTTGAAGCCTAAGTTTGAAGTTTCTATCTTGACTTTCGAGGATGGTATTATGAAGTATAAATTTTTATTTTGCCTAAAGAAGGGGAAAGCTAGGAACCCTTCTATTGACTTCATGCTGAATCTTGTTCCCCGTTATCTATTGACCCGACTATACCAAAGAGGTAATAAATTCAATATAGCCTCCTCTTGGAAGACCGCAAAGTTGTTCTCTAAGCAATGAGTTGTACGTGGTGGATTCACATGATTTAGATTCATTCGTCGTATGTTAATTTAACTAGATGGAATGTTTAATTTTCTTGGGAAAGTTGAAGGTCATCGCCGAGGACGACCATGGTTGTTTGTTAAATCAACCAAAGCCTTGATCAGATTACAAATGTTTAATGGAGGATGGTTCGTCTAATGGAATATGAGCAACAAGGCTATACTGATAATCAACAAGTTTAAAAAACAATATAAGACACCTCATTTATGGTCGTACTCTTTAGTTGGACAAAAAAAATGAAAGCCGATCGCTAGATCTAGAAATAGTTGATCAAGTATTTGTGGCCCGACATAGATGAGGACATGAATCTACTAAATATCATGAGCACAACTTACAAGCTATCATGTAGAAATTAACTCCGTCCATTGTTTCATTGGCAACTACATTTAATTTCACGTACCATGGCAAAGAATATCTAACCGATAACTTCGTGGAAACCTCGATTTCCAGCTGAGAAATACGACGGGTTTCGTCCTAGAATTTCCTGGTGACTGAAAAGATTATCGGACTTTTCTCTCTATCGTGGTTGGTCTTTGTCCTAATAAAACCACGACCGCATTAAATGCAAAGACAACTTCTCCACTTGGAACCAAAGAACCATGACTTTGACTTCATTTGTCATTTTGCAATTTGTCGGCAGATTAATCGAGTTTGGTATTAGGAGCATTTATTTTTCTCAACTAGTTGAGGTTTCATTTCTACGAAACTTCCTTAGTGGGTGCTATTGCATGAAGGGGACATTGTCCGCAGGTCTTCAAAGAAGAAGCCACGTCCAACTAAATCGACCGTTGGTAGATGGAATTACGAAAGCAAGGTTCATCTCTTTTTCTTTTTCTTTTTATATTCGTTTAGGCTAAAAGAAACAACAATGATAGACCAGAGAGCAATCCCCTAAGAAGCATGGACTGTTTCCTGGTTTTGTGTCATTAAAAAAATCGACACGAACGTCTTCCCAAGAGGTGTATACACGTGTACCATATCCTATGCCGGCCTCGGCAGACATCATGAGTCAATTATTACTTCGCTAAGTCTACGAGATTCCTAAGCAAGGGGATCCGGAGAGGTATATATGAATAATCTCGTGGGAATATTCGAGACAAAAAGTCAAACGCCATTGCAAAAAAGAAAAAGAAAAAGAAAAGACATTATGATATGCTTCTTGACAAAGAAAAGTTCATGCCGGTTACTAGATCCATCGCACACACTTGTACATCGTCACTTTTGATTTAATGAGAGAATTACCAAAACAGTTATAAATCCATTGCAATTATACAAATTTAGTTCTAAATATTTTTTTTTGCCAATGGAGTACTAAATCTTTTGCATTTAGGCCGATTCAGTCCATCTGGCTAATTTTGGCCCGAAATCGCTAACATGGATGATGGCCGTCCTACGTAACGTGACCGGCTCTGACATAGATATTTTTTAATAATTTTTAATAATTTTTCTAATTATTTATTTATTTATTTTCTTTCTCTTTTTTTTTCTTCCCTTCTTTCTCTAGCCGATCGCCGAACCTTGCTGACCGGCTAGAGGCGAGGGCCAACGAGGTTGACCTCACCCGCTTGGCAATAGCAAGCCTCTCTAGTGATCGGTGAGGTCAACCTCGACGGCCCTCGCCTCTGGCCAGTCGCCGAGGTCCGATGACTGGCTAGGGGAAGAAGGAAAGAAAAAAAAAAAGAAAGAGAAAGAAAAGAAACAAAAGGAAAAATAATTAAAAATAAAGAATTCGAAAAATATTAAATATTATTAAAAATTATCTACGTCAGAGCCGGCCGTGCCACATAGGACGACCGATGTAACACCCCGGGTCTACACTATGTAATATTGTCCGCTTTGGGCCCACTGACCCTCACGGCTTTAAAACGCGTTACACAGGATATGTGACATTCCGAAATTCCACCAATTGGAATTTATTGAATAATTGAGTTTTATGAGATGTGCTCGCAGTAAATTCTCGCCCGGAACTGATCATTCCTGGGAATGCTAACCATTAGGGAAAGGCTAATAGGGGAATTAAATTTGCGTGACTAGACAAAATTCGATCGTGAATGGATTTCGACCATTAAATCGTGGAAGTGATATTTTGAGCCACTGTTGGCCGATCCAAGGATAGTTAGGGGTCAGTTCGTCATCGTCTTAGTAGTGGATCGCGGGTGATTCCGTTGGACCACGAAGCGACTTGACGAATGATTCCGAAATTATACCGAACGATCGTACCCCTCGGATCAAGTGATTGATCTTTGCGATTTTAATGACAACCGAGGTCGTCACGTACCGAACGGACTTGCACGTGACTCGATTTAGTATCAGTCATGAGTCGATTTCACGAATTTCCCCAGCAAGCCGCCCGTTAGCTCGAGAAATGCTCGAGTTGCGTTTAATAGAATTTAATTATTGAAATTTTGCCCAAATTGGACACCGGAAAATTAGGAAGTCACGACGGAACGCCAGGACAACGTTGCACGTGACACGTGTGAATTTTTGGTGCGCTTAAATCCTTCGGAAAAATTCGATTTGGGCAAGAAACGGAGAATTGGACCATTTTACCCTTGAGTATTAAAGAAAGGGTAGTTTTAGGGGCAAGGGGCATTTTGGTCATTTGTGCCCTAGATATTTTGGGTCAAAGCTACTATTCATGTCTAGACCATTCTTCTCTCTCTCTCTCTTCTCTCCCCTCATTTCTTCTCTCTCCCCCATCGTGAAATTCCCCCCCTCCACCGTGAGACCTCTCCCCCTCCACCGATCACTCTCCCTCTCCCTCCGCCGTTCACCGCCGCGCCCCAAGCCGCCGTCCATACGTCCGCCGGACCGCCGCCGCGCCCAAGCCGCTGTCCTCACCGCCTCATCCCCACCCATCCGTGACACTCTCTCTCTCTTTCCATCTCTGGCCGTGGGCCCTCTTAGCCGCCGTGGACACCGCCGCAAGCCGCCGCTCGCCGATCGTCGCCGATTGTCGCCGCCGCCGCAAGCCTTCGTCGGATTTCAAGTTTTACCGCCGCTTTTGTTCTAGCCGAGAGAGTCTAGAACGAGGTAAGTTGTGATCTAAGCTCTCGCCTAGTAGATCGGGTTGTTTCGGGTTTAGATAGACGCGGGTTGTTGTGATTTTGCGGGCTAAGTTGAATTACGGGCCCTAGGTTTGAATTTCGAGGATTTTGGTGGAAAATTTGGGGCCGATCAATGCTGTGAATTGGGGTTTAGTGTGCTGTGGTGTGCTATTGGGTACGAGAATGGTCCCGTTGAGTCCGGCTCGGAGTTTTATGTAAGTATCGTGAAGAGTCGGAAGTGTGATTTTATGGTTTGAGTGCAGAAATTACTGTTCACGAGCTGTGCAGAAATTACTGTTCACGAGCTGTGCAGAAATTACTGTTCACGAGCTGTGGGTGTACTGTACACTGTGCTGTGGTGAGTCGTTTGACGCGTAATTGGTGCCGTTAGGTCCATCTTGGAATTTTATGAAAATCCCGTGAAGGACTGAAAATGATTTGAAAACATTTGAACAAAGAAAAATACTGTTTTACGTGAGAATGTGTTTTTGTGTGAAAATGGTGATGTGGTGAAGTGTGGGGTGCAAGTGTGCACGGAATTTGAGGCAATGGCATGAGAAAGTGAGGTGGGATCGAGCCGAGTATCATAAACTCGGGCAGCGATCACGTAGGTCTGTTGCATTTGGCACAGGCTGAGGCTCGAAAGAGCATGATTGAGTGCGGTCCGAGGCACGATCAGCTCGGGTGAGACCGGGATTGGACCGAGGCATTATAAGCTCGGGTTCCCATCATGTAGGCCTGTCGCATTTGGTGCGGGCTGAGTGTTGGTCGCAGTGTACCTGAGGCGTGTACGTTTACGCGGGTCACTGGCGAGTGATGTGGGAAGTAATGAATGGTCGCAGTGTACCTGAGGCGTGTACGTTTACGCGGGTCACTAGCGAGTATTATGGGAAGGAAGAATTGAGAATGGAAAGAATGAGAAAGTGGAGGTGGAATGGGCGTATGTTGAGTGGATCGAAATCGTGTTATGTTCGTTGGGCGAGTGATTTGTGGAAAATTTGTATGTTGTGTCTTGTGTTTTCAAAATAAATTTTTATAAGTGGACTATTGTGCAGGCTGCGTGTGTCGAGAGCCCAGGTATGTGTATTCGTGTGTTTTGTGGTGGTTTGTTTGGTCATGTGTTTATCTATGTCTGGAATAACGTGATAGCCTAGGTAGGGTTTAGGTTACAACTTATTGAGAAGTGTCTCATGGTTGTATAAACCAAACCATTTCAGATCCCCCGCCTGAGCGATGAATATTCCGCCGCCGCCACCAGAACGTTTCGGAACCCTCAGTAGATGGGACGATACAAGGGGATTCCGACTCAGAGGACGAAGAATCGGATTCAGAATGGACGCCTAGTAAGGGGCGTAGGGAGTAATATCCGGATATGGAATAGGTTTTTGCGAGTACCATTTTTGGATGGAAAGTTGACCAGGTCATAGGCCCTTTTTGTTACTGACCGTAATGGTGTGGCGGGTACTTGTATTTATGGTGGCTTGTACGTGTTGGGGTGGCTTTGTAATTGTAAATATTTTGGTATAAGTTTGGAAATGAGATATGGATATGTATATTCTCCCTTAATGCCTCCCCAATTTTTATATTGTCCGGGATTAATTGTAATATCCGCTGTGGTTGTAAATCTCTGATGATTATTTGAGGTCGGCGACATTCCTGGGGCGTCGCACTCATCGACCAGGTAAGGGGCGTCACGTGCCCATTGGGGTTCGGGGTGTGACAGGATAGGCCACCCAGGCCTTATAAGCAACCCCAGGACTCCCCCCTAAGCGATGTGGGACAAAGAGATGCCCCTCTTGCCATTCTAGAAGCCTGCCAGGAGCCGCTCCTTGTCCAGGTCCTTAAACCCCGACGACCACTCCCCGCCCTCGTCGGACCGGGTCGTTACATTCTCCCCTCCTTCGAGCACAGCGTCCTCGCTGTGGCCCCACACGCGGTCGGGAGTAAGCTCTGATACCACTTGTAACACCCCGGGTCTATACTGTGTAATATTGTCCGCTTTGGGCCCACTGACCCTCACGGCTTTAAAACGCGTTACACAGGATAGGCCACCCAGGCCTTATAAGCAACCCTAGGACTCCCCCCCTAAGCGATGTGGGACAAAGAGATGCCCCCCTTGCCATCCTAGAAGCCTGCCAGGAGCCGCTCCTTGTCCAGGTCCTTGAACCCCGGCGACCACTCCCTGCCCTCATCGGACCGGGTCGTTACAACCGACGTCCATGTTAGCGATTTCGAGTCAAAATTGGCCGGATGAATTAAATTGACACATATGTAAAAAGTTTAAGACTCAATTGGCCAAAAAAAAAGAAGGTTTATGACTGAATTGACACAATTGTAATATGTTTATGGCTTTTTTGATAATCTTCCCCTGATTTAATCAATGAAGTAATAAAGCAACAGATGATATCGTCATCGTGTTGCCCAAATGGAATCTTACCTCTTAATATAGGTGTTTTTTAGAGGAAAGTAAATAATTATTTGCACGTATTTGCGAGGGTACTTTATGGGCTACATGGATACTACAGTATTATCATGACCTATGTTTGAATCGACTGTTTATGGGTATTAACTAATATAAGATAAGAGCATTTCATTATATCGTCGTTTTTAAAATAAGATTAGGTGATATTCACATTCATTAGTTTTTCCATGCAAGACCAAGTCTACTTGCCCGCTCCAATAAAAAGGTTGCATGTAACAATCCACGACACTCTAGGGTTAAATAAGGAGGAGATGGAAGTGGATTGAAGAATAGTAGTTGTAATATTCCCTAAAGTCAAGAACATTGATGTCGTCAAGAACATATACTTTCTATGCAAGACCAAATCTATTTGCCCGCTCCAATAAATAGGTTGCATGTAAAACCGACGACACTCTAGGGTTAAATATGCAGGAGATGGAAGTGGATTGAAGAATAGTAGCTGTGATATTTTCCTAAAATCAAGAGCACGAAAGGTAGAAATTCAAGTGGAAAAATTAAGTTATTTTGGCATTTAATATTAAGTTATTTCCACTTGAAGAGGGGCGATTTTCAATTTGGATCGATTAACCAAACCAAATAACACGTAAAGGACAGGGAAAGATTTAGATCTAAATACCAAAACACGTAAGCGGTAAAAAAAATATTAATTCATGCATTCTCCTATGGACGTAACATTCATAGTAGAAATAATTAAAGATATTTTGGGAAGATTTTCCTATGATATCAGTCGCTATCCTGTCTTAATATTAACAAACACAGGGGAAAGCAAAAGGCCCAGAGAAAAGGGATACCCAAAAATATAATCCTTGTTATTATAAGTCTATTTTTATTTTTTCGTTTTTTGGGCATGGCTTATTGCCATCTCAACAAAGACATGACAGCTCCTCGAATTCATTGAACTCTGTCGCAGGAAAAATGAGTCGTTGTCCATGTACTTAATGTAGAAGAAACTCTAAGAACAATGGTGAGTACATGCAGGAAGAACATTCAACAAAATAACTCAATACATGACGCAGCCAAAGATCTACGTATGTACATACACACAAACCGGCCGGTACTCGCCGACGACCGCCACGCATGACCCGGAAAGTCAATTTACTTGAAGTTCAAAGTACACATCCAAACATGTGTGTCGCTTAGTTCCTTAGTATTCACAAGTCTAGGTTTATCGATAGGAAGCTACGACCGATTCGAGCACCGTCAACACTTCTGACCGGAGATCTGGCCTATTCCTCCTGCTCATCTCGCAGCACCTCAAAGCCAAATGAGCCAACTCCTTGGTCAGCATATAGGGCCACTCTCCAGCCAGTGGATCCAAGATGGCCTCCAAAGCCCCTGCACTAATTGCACTTTGCACTTCCTTCGCTATTCCAAAGGCGGGCCTCCTCGTCAATAACTGCAGCAGTATAATCCCGAAAGAATAAACATCGAACTTCGTTGTGAGCTCTCGCGTGACGAGGATCTCGGGGTCCATGTACCCAAGCGTCCCTTTCAAGTCGGCTGTGTACAGGACTGTGGTGTTGTTGCTAGACCGCTCCCCGCGGGAGAGCAGTCGGCAGATACCGAAATCGCTGAGCTTGCTACCGAGATGTGCATCCAGTAGGATGTTCCCTGGTTTGACGTCACCATGGACGATGCTGTGAGGCTTGCAAGAGTGGAGGAAGGCCAGAACGGAGCAGAGCTCTGTGGCGATGTGTATCCGAGCTTGCCACGGCAGCTGCTTCGCCCGGTTGCTGCTGCGGAGCCAGTCTTCAAGGCTACCGTTTGGAATATATTCGTAAACAAGAGTGTAGGGCTCTGGACAAGCGCCCATGAGCGTGATGAGATTGGGATGCCTCACCTTGCTCAACACATCCACCTGTGAGACATCGAATCAAGAGTTCGATGATCAGCATTTGATATTCTCGATTACTGTGATCAATGTACTCTTACAGTGAAGACATAGGAATTAATGAACCGAGTCTTTATATTTTAATTTTGGTTCAGAGAAAAATTTGAAGAGAAGTAGAGGATACTCAAGAATTCTTACCTCCTGTTGAAATTCTTGTGAACTATGCATGCTATGAAATTTAATGATCTTTATGGCCACCCACGTATGTCGAAGGAAACCTCTATACACGCTCCCGCAACCGCCTTCTCCAATCTTCATGGATGGGTCGAAGTTCCGTGTAGCTTCCTTGATTTCAGTCATGGAGAACTCGGAGAAGTACTTTGTACCCGAGGAATCTCCTTTTCTTCTGCTTACCTCCTCGGCCGTTTGGAGCGCATTGTCGAGTTCGATCTGCAACAGCTCTAGCTCTTGTCTAAAAGTCTGCAACATTTCATCACTCGCAATGATTTTCAGCTCCAACTCCTTTCTGCTCTCGTCGGTCTCGGCGAATTGGCTCTCGAGCTGCAATTTCTGTTCCTGGGCACTGCGAAGTCCTTCCATCACTTTGTCTAGCTGATCTTTCACCTTCTCAAGTTCTTCCTCCAACTGAAAATTTACCCATAACACTATATTCAATAGATCATCCTCTTTTTTTTTGCCACAAGTCAATAAATCATCTTTCATCCTCATGTTAACAATACGTCATGCTTGCTATTTTTGTGTTACATTTTAGGATGAATTGTTTCCATGGAGTTCATTATGGTCCTCAGCAATCAGTAAAAATATTCCATTTTTAATATCGGCAATTTACATAAATCAGGGCTCCAGGTCAATATATAGCAATGCCGTCCAGTTATTATATTGAGATTATACCTTCCTGGGATCCTTTCGCCCGCCTTCACCGATATCAACTTCTGCTTCAGCACAAGTCGTCACTCCCTCCTCAAGCACTCGCGCATCGTTTTCCTCCATACCCTGTAACAATTAGCTGAACTTTGCAATATTCCTTTAAAGGACAAAGATTAAGATATTCTTGACTCTAAAACAGGGAAATTTAAGCTAGAGACATGGTCCCCTCGCTAGAGAACATGAAAACAACAATCGTTGTCTTATTTTGCACATACCAGAGTGTTGGAGAGCGATGAGTGGCTGGTAAGATAGACTGATTGAATCAACTGCAGACAATGGGAAAGACTTGTTGCGAGTTCTTGGATAGTGTCTTGCCTCTCCAGTATGCTCGGCGCGTTAGGCTGCTCGGAAGGAGTGCTATCTGGGGAAGGAGAAGCTATTGGCATAACTGCACGCCGGTCGGCGTTTGAGGAGAAGGTTCTTCCCAGAATGCCTTGAAATAGATTGCTCAACTTCGCCATACCACTCCTCTGCAGTGTGACGGATCGCGATTTCAAGAGAATGGACTTTCTAGCTCCAGGGGTTGGAGTCGTCGGTGATGGTGCATCAGTAGGAACTTCTGCAATGGCTTGAACCATCTGAGCTTCCCTATTTTGACAAGGAATCAAAATAACTTCAAGGTGAAGCGAAAATTGTGGCATCACTTCATAAATTAATCGTCCGCTATGACTCCGCCCCCGTAAACATCCCTACCTGCACTCAATTTCATTCGGAAATTTCATTTATTGTGTTATGAGCTAATTAGAAGTTAGCGGATCTAGGGACACTGGTAGTTGCCATGACCCCCGTGCAAAATTTCCCAAGTATTTAGCCATCTTTTTTTTTTTTTGGTGTAAAATGTAAATAGCATTTATAAGTTGACGTACAGAGACTTAGGGACATTCCCCAACATTACAAATAGAACTAAGATCACGAAAAAATGAAGTGAGAGAGTCTCCATATAGTAGCCAATATTTCATTTGTCCGGGATGGTCTAAAAGATTTGTAGTGCAAAATTCTTAGCCATCTTATTCAAAGAAAGAAGAGATAATGGAAAACATGAATAAATTTGTTTGTCCCAGCCTCATCACAACCCAAAATTCTGGGTTTCCTATGGCATTCAACTATTGCAACAAGATTTTCAGCTGATTTGGTTTTCAAATTGATTATTTGTTGTAGAACTTATTTTCACAACACCCTCACATACGCATTCGATAATTTCAAAGGAGACAAATTCACAAGTAAAATAATCGGAGGGCGACCTTGTGCGAATGAGGTGCCCGTCGCAAATAAACCGAATTTGACAAGAGAAGTGCGCTTTATCGCAGACGAAGATGGCTTTCCTGGACTTGATTTCAGTCATCTTCCTGCCAATTCAAAATCAGAGAAGACAGTGAATTGATTTGGTGGAAATTCAGATAATACTAAACATAAGTTGGGAGATACAACACGAGATTTTTAGATTCTCAAAGCGATATGTGGCCGGTTTTTATTTTATTGTTTCACTCAGTAGGAAAGGAAGACGATTCGTAATACATTATGTATAGTGATGGACTCGATGCGAACTAGACATTTGAGAAGCGCCACCAAGTATTCCTCAAAGACCGGACATGTACAACACATCTTTAAGGATTAACATAGAAATAAGTATCTAGTTTAATGTTGTAATTAAGAATCCAAACAAACATATCCTTTTAGTTATGAAGAGGATAGATTTGGAATGAATAAGTCCACGACCCATGTGGGTGTGTCCTCTTGTTCTTGTACGTACTTGAAATAGCGTCCGTCTGCTGCTGCACCCATTACAAGCTTTTTGATCCCATACAAACGTATGAGCTCCACAATTCCCTTTTGAACGCTGTCCGATTTTATGTACTCTTTCTTGGCCGGTACCTATGAACCAATAAACCAATTAATTTGCTTCATTATTATCGTCGTCTCTTAGAAGTGTGTTTGTATATATAATTATGTAAACTTGTGCCATGTGAGCATCGTCTATATCAAGGGTCAACAATGATTAATATTTGTTCGATTCACTGGCACTTTGTTAAGAAGTCACTGACCAGGATATCTAATCATCTAGATGAAGAAGAAGAAGAAGAAGAAAGTAAATATACCCCCAGTTTTTGACAAACGCGCAGGTAGGTATCTAAGATCTTATGCATGTTTATCCTCTCTTTTTCTCTGTGTTCTCTCAACAATATCTCATTTGCCGAGTTCGCCGGCATTCCAGCACCCAGGCCTCCTGCAAACCAAAGGCAAATTGAAAGCACATAAAATTTAATCAGTTGCAAGAAAGAACGTCACCGGAAGAACGAATATCGACAATAAAAGGAACAAGTAAAAGCAATAGGATATCCAATATGGTCCTACATCGCGAAACCCTGAAAGGGAAATTTAATTTTTTTCACATATCGATTGTCCATCATGGAAGATCCCTGTGTTATATCCATGGGAAGTTGGTAAGCTTTCGTTTTTTCTTTTAACAAACACTCGTACAATAAAAAAAGATAACCGAACGATGGAGGGTAATATGCAAAGAAAAAAAGCACAAACGTTGACTTACCCATGGGGATCGTCTGTGAAGGAACTAGAACATGAATGATACAGATCTTGACTTTTCCTCGTGATTGACGCACCGTCCAAACAAGCTTCGCTATGCCCTCTTTCACATCCTTCCCAGCTGCGACATAAATCATGTCTTTGAAAACCGGCATCGCCAGTTCAGGTGCGACCCTGCGAAAGCTTGGCATCATCGCCGGGATTCCGAACTCGGGAAGTGTAATCATACGGTCAACCACGGCCATATCGACATGCGCTAAGTACGGCGACGAAGACGATCTTAACAAAAAAGAAATTGAGCAAAGTCTGGAGTGTCTATGATGCAGATAGATAGCTAGGGAGAGCAGACATGAGAGAGAGAGACAGAAAGCGAGACGTAGGAATTCTCTGAGAAACGAAAATGAAGTAGAGCGGGGAGGGTCTCAAGCGAGGTTTTTTGTTGAGGGGGATTCGGTTGGGTTATAAAGAGAAGGCTTGCTCTAAAGCTTGCGCAGGCCGTACAGTACATACCATGAAATCAACGAAGACTCTCTTTTCATGGGTAATGAGTGAGCAATTTCTCGTTGGGCTCCATCAAGTTAGGTGCTATATAATATGCTTCTGTTTCTAGTAATTATTTTATATGGACTTGTGGTTTATGAGATTTCACTCTAACCCTCTCTCCCGCAACAAATATTTTACAGAATTTGTCGCCTTACCTCCCTAATTTAATTTCTGCATCCACCACTAGTGATTAGTGAAAATTACAAGAGAAGAATTCCTCATATAGAAGGCATGAGTGGAAATTTGTACTCTCCATAGTCGTACACGCACTTTTGGTCTTGAAATGTCCATACCAATGGTCGGTCTTTCACATTACTATTTTGCTATTTGAACAGTGTCCGAGCTTAAACAAGGAAGCAAGCATTCATGCGGAGTTTAAGTCTCCTTCTAGTAATTAAATTCAAGTGGGGTCTTTTTGGATTAAAAGAAAACTGTCGTTATCAAAAAATGCACGATATTGTAGAGTTAGGTGAATCATTAATAAGGAAATTATTAGCAGACATAACCGAAAAACATTTTATCAAATAGTTGCCTTGCCTATCATCAATAAGAAGAGTCTCAACATTTGAAAATTCAAATGTATCATGTTTATTGAAGATGTTTAACTTCTTTCTGTTAGACATACCAAAATTACATAAGATGGTATTTTCCATATATATATAAATATATATATGCGCGCGCGCGCCATACTATTACTCTAGTTCTTTAATGAGGTTGAGCATCCTTCGAATAAGCTTGTGCCTTGCATTGCTTATAGTGATCACAACTCAGGGAGTGTTCATCACCAATGACGCAAATACTTACCTTTTTCAAAGGAGAGAAAGCATTGGTTTCCCCGAATTGCTTCAAGTGAGGAGGAGCTTCTTGAAAACTGCTTTCTCGAAGGAGAGAAAGCATTATAAAATATTTTAAAATGAAAAAATTCTACATAGGTAACATCCAATCATTGAAATAAAATTCTACATAGGTAACATCCAATCATTGAAATCGATTGACGTGATAAGAGAAAAATATTATTGTCACGTGGCATTCGATCGTTTTTCTGATTTCCCTAACAGATTTTAGTATCAATTTCCTTAATCCAATCAAAGACATTGGCCTGATCTATTCTATATTACCTGAGCAAACATCCGCTGAAAATCAAGAGGATGGCATCATCTTCTTGGCTTCTGCTTCTGCGTAACGCTCAACTTGCAAGAAGTCGACAATAAAGTCAAAATCGCGATAAAATTTTCAAAGAATTTAAAATATTGTAAGTTTAAAATAACAATGGAAAATTATACCCAAATCTACTCATGGATATTTTCATTTTAAATGGTTTTATGTATTTTGTGTGCTGCAAAATCTAAAATATATATATAAGAATATTCAAAGCAACCATATCAGTTTCCTGATATCATTTCCCTATAAATCATATATGTAGTATTTCACGTCATTTTCTTATAGTTTTCTCCCCAGAACGCCATTTCGTAGTAAACTTGCCTTCACTTGTCTGCTATTTACTGCCATCTTTGGCGGGGAAGGTTCAACTCCATGAGGTCTACTAGTCAAATGCACCTGTGTGGATGCGTGTGGGACATCGAGGGTAGCTGGATTGTTTTTTCTTGCTTAATGCAGAAGCATCATATCGTGTGGAAATGGAGCTCTTTCTCTCTCCTCGAAGCTTGATTTGGATTGAAGGGCAAGCTTGGAGCCTAAGTTTGAAGTTTCTATCTTGATTAACCTTAATCAAGGGTCTTCTCTCCTGTGGTTCTTCGTGTTCGGTTAAGTATTCAGTTAAGAGTTAACCTCATCACAGAAGAGAAGCCGAAGCTCCCACAAGGGCCTCCGTGGCCTGTCCGTTTGATATATTGGAACGGCGGGCTCCACGGATGCGTTCCTTATTTTAACGTGTCGATGACCACACGTCCTACGTCCCCAAGTTCCCCATGTATCTTTGTCTTTTCTAAGGAGAGGGAATACCCTCTAGAGGTTTTATATCCCGGTGATCCCGAGGTCTGGACAAGGACCGAGATGGAGCTTTTTAAGGACTTGATCAGGTCCTGACATTGGAAATATGAAGTGTAAATTTTTTTTGCCTAAAAAAGGGGAAGGTTGGGAACCTGTCTATTGACTTCATGCTGAATTTCTTCCCCTTTTCCATTGATCAAGACTAGACTAGACCTGTCAAAATGAGTTATAAACCTATTTCTTAATCCATATTTTATGGGATGAGTTAATTATATCCAGTAAATAGGTTTAAAATGATAAGGCCTAAAATAGTATGGGTGTTAAATAGATCCACAACTTACTTTGATCCAATCCACCGCTATGACTTTCTCTTCACTCTCTCTCGCCCCCTTAGCTTGCCCTCGCTCACTCTATGCTCTCACTTTAGTTTGAATATGAGTTTTCCTAGATTTGGTTAAATAAATAAGTGTTTCGGTGATACGGGTCGGGTATGCATTGTGTATGAGTCACTAGATTTTTATTGCATGGAAATGAATTAAAACAAGTTAAATTGATCGATTTAGGTCGGATAATTTTCTACCCGACCCACCCGTTTGATAGATTTAACTGGAACTATGCCAAAGGGAATAGTCCCCCGCCTAACCTTTTTATTCTAACGATGTTGGCATTGGATGGAAAGATCCGGTCTGTTTCTAGAAGACTTGGTTGTGTAATAATGTCAATCAAACCAATCATGACAGAAATAAAGGCTTTCAAAATATTTCCATACAAAAGCACATGTTTAATGCCTTCTTCTGCGATCATTATTGATTCACTTGACATATCCTTCCTTTTAGCAGTCATATCCTTAATGTGAAAGATGAGGGAAGTTCAAAATGATGGAAGGATATGCGGCGGATGCTTCACTTAGAGCTATATTATCATCGGTGATGCTAATTAAGAAAGATTTATTCACATTCACGACAGATAAACCATAGATCAACATGGTGAATTGTCATTTCATCTAACTAGAAGAGATGTCCTTTTCATGGTAATAGTGATTAACCTCCTACAATTAATCTTATCTTGAGAGCCCCCTATCTCGGTACCTCTGTTTAATCCCGTACAGTTATAGTCCTAGTACGAGTTATGCTATCGAGCCTATTCAATTCCATTCTCCATGTAATAAGGTCACTAATCGGGCCAAAAAGTTGAATAGAGGATGGTTCGTCTAATGGAATATGAGTAACCAGACTAAATTGATAACCGACAAGTTTGAAAATAATGTAAGACACATCATTTGTGTTTGCACTCTTTAATTGCACAAAAAATTGAAAGCTGGTCAATAGATCTAGAAATAATTGATCGAGTATTTGTGGCCTGACATAGATGAGGACATGAATCTAGTAAATATCACTGGCACAACTTACTAGCTATCATGTAGAAATTAACTTCCTTCATTTTTCATTGGCAACTAGATTTAACTTCACGTACCATGGCAGAGAATATCTAACCAATAACTTCGTGGAAACCTCGATTTCCAGCTAAGAAACACGAGGGGTCTCGTTCTAGAGTTTCCTGGTAACTAAAAGATAATCGGATTTTTCTCTCTTCTGTAGTTGGTTTTGTCCTAACGAAAACACGACCGTATTTAATGCAAAGACAACTTTTCTACTTGGAACCAAAGAACGATGACTTTGACTTCATTTGTCATTTTGCAATGTGTCGGCAGATTAATCGAGCTCAGTACAAACCAAGTTTGGTATTCGGTGCATTATTATTCTTAACTAGTTAGGGTTTAATTTCTGTGAACCTTCCCTAGTGGGGGCCATTGCATGAAGGGTACATTGTCATTTGTCCCCAAGTCTTCAAAGAAGAAGCCAGTTCCAACTATTTTCCCTATTCTTGGACCACCAAATTAATTCCTGGAATTTTATTCTCACCTAAATCGACCGTTGGTAGGTGGAATTACGAAAGCAAGGTTCATCTCATTTTTTTATAATTTGTTTAGGCTAAAAGAAACAACAATAATTGATCAGAGAGCAATCCCCTAAGAAGCATAGACTATTTCCTGGTTTTGTGTCATTAAAAATATCGACACGAATGTCACCCTAAGAGAAGTATACACGTGTACCATATCCTATGCCGGCCTAGGCAGACATCATGGGTCAATTATTACTAAGCTAAACTATATTGAAAGTCTACGAGATTCCTAAGCAAAGGTGCTCCGAGAGGTATATACGAATAAGCTCGTGGGAATATTCGAAACAAAAAGTCAAACGCAATTGCAAAAAGAGAGAGAGAATTATAATATACTTCTTGTCAAAGAAAAGTTCATACCACATCAAACATAAGGTTAGATGCATCGTACACACCTATCCGTCGTCGCTTCTAATTTAACAGAAGAATTACCAAAATAGTTATAAATCTATTATAATTATGTCAATTAAATACTAAATCCTCTTTTTTGCCAATTAAGTACTAAATCTTTTGCATTCGTTCCGATTCATTCCATCTAGCTAGTTTTGACCGGTGAAAATGGTGATCGCTCAAAATGGTGCAAATCTCGTCCATACGAGATTACATCAAGAAGATGCTGCCTTAGATTGGAAAGTATCACTTTTGTGAGCAAGTGAGATTTTCAAAAATTTAAATCCTATCTTGGATTTCACCAAAAATGGGAAATGATTTTTTACAATCTGGAGGATATTTGAAGGATTTCTAATTCCACTTTATCCTATCTTATCTCAATCCAAATCTGGACGATCAAACGCAGCCTTAATGAATTGTTATCATTTCTCCTCAAAACCAACGTGATGTCCATATCAATATTCAAATTAGTTAGTCATGCAACAAGATGTCCAAGAGGGATTGTGGGATAGAATATCTTTGCAAAATGATCTCAGAATTTTGTTTTCTTAATCGTCTGTAGGTCTTACAACACTGCTTCATTTCACAAGGCTCAAACTGAAACTCGACATGAAAATAGTTGGGGGTACCATGTTTTTCTTTGCAGATTGGCTCCATTTAA